TTTTAAAAGATCATGATGTGTGATTGCCATTTCATAAGAAATCATTGATACAATGTTAATCAACAGGAGTCGTGTTTATTTTTTATCATTTGTTGAGTTGCAACAAAAGGTGGTGATAAGGTAGTGAGCTGTAACCAAATGTAGTTATAAACGGCATGCCTCTAAGAGCATCTACTATGGTGAGTTCAATGAGAGAGTTGAATGAGGTGACAAGTCTAGTTGTCATTCAATGGATGAAACTCTACCATAGTGAGATGTCACCTTAGCATTCAATGGATTTGGATTTCAATGGCCATTGAACCTCTTCAATGGGAAAAAGAAAAGTTTTCTAATCTTAAATACATACTATAAATTAGCTTTTGTACCTTTCTATTGAACTTTGTAGAATTGAATGCATTGTAGGAAAAAATTGATTGAGTTGTATGGAATTTAAAAAAATGATGTGACAATCCATTTAAATCTATTGTGGATGCCCTAAGAAAGCACCTACAAAAGCCACCTAACATACCTAAAATAGATGCTCATGTCCTTGAGTCCACCTCATGTGCCACCTTGGCAACTTCGTAGATGATAAAAAATTTGAGTGAACATCAATCTGAAATCTTATCAGATTGAAATGAAGAATTTTTAGGTTCCTTTAATTATCTTTATACTTGTAAATAAAAGTATAAAAATGGATTTAATGATTTTTTTAAACTTGCAACTTACATGGAGTTTCATTCATCACCGCTATTTACTCTATTCTTGGCCTTAAAATCTATGCCCCTATTAAAAAGTAACAAAAGGTGATAGCCATAACACTTTCTTCTCACTTCTATCCTCCTTCTCTGTCTCTCACTCTCGCAAACCATATATGCGACCCACCACATCTCTTATCGCCATGCCACCTTCTGTTTTAATTCGGTAAGCCTTTACTTAAGCTTTTGGTCAACCTTATTCTCTCTCTTATATATATATATATATATATATATATATATATATATATATATATATATATATTGAAAGTTCAACTTTTTTTTTTTTAAATCTCCTGTTTACTTCTGGTTATAGGTCAAAAGAAAAAAGTATATTACTTAATCTATTTTTTTTTACTCTTGTAGACCAAAGATGTGCTAAAATCTCAACAAAGAAAACAGGGGACCAAAATAAACTCATTTTGTGCCGGCTAATACCATTAACTGCACATTATTAAATCAAATTGGTGTAGTTTCTTTCCCTTCATTTGATTTTGCAGAATTTTTCATTATCATCATCATAAGCACTAACATGAAATCTTTCTTTTATTACCTGAAAAAATAGCCAACAAGCCTAGAGATAATTTAAGTATATCTCCTCAATATTGTTCATTTGTTTTTTTCTACTTTTACATCTATTATAATTTAATGATTTAGCTTTGGTAATCAACTAAATTTCCCCAATATTGTTCATGTGTTCTTAACAAGATATATCAATTGCTAATTTTATTTTAAACTTGATTTTCCAACGGTATGTATTGCATAAACAAAATTAATTCATTTTCAGGTCATGGATATCTTTGTGGTAACAAGACTTTGTGCTCAACCAATGAAACACATGTAGATTGCTTAGTTTTCTTGAAGTTGGCTAACCTATTGGTGTTTTTTGATCAACAGATGAGAAATTAATCTTGTGTTGTCTTTTCATAATTACTCTATGATAATGAGTTAGTAGAGTGCACTAATTGGTCACATTGTAAGCAAAAATAATAATCAATCAATCCACAGGTTTTTTTATGGAATATATGTACAAATTGATGAGTTTCGAGTAATACATCATTTTTATGGTGTACATGCAAACCCTAATAGCTTTTGGATATAGTTTGTCTAATGAACATGCAATTGAATATCCAAAGCCATAAACCCTAGATCTAACACATTATGAACTGAAATAAGGTTTAGAGATTACCTTTGATTGTTATATAGCAATAGCAATCAATTCCTTGGTTTCAAAAAGCTTAGTGCCTCAAGTGTTGAACCTCTAATGGAGTCACAAACACCACTAAGCAACTAGATGAAGAAGAAAGGAGAGAGGAGGCACCAAAAACGACTAGCAACCCTAAAGGATTCATTCCCCACGTTTTTGGGGGCCTTAGGGGTCTTTATATACTTAGGCTATTAGGGTTTTGAACTTAGGAAACCCTAATTTAACTACTTAGGTCCTAAGCAGTCCATGGACTCCTTTAATTATATGCCTTGGACGAATTCCTTATGGGCTTCCCATAGAATTCGTCCAACCTATATTATTAGGTGATCTATAGCCGAATAGCAATTATCTTATAATTACAAATCCAGTCCCCTAAGTTTAATTAATCTATTTTAACCACAAAATTAATTCTTAATTAATTCTTGACTAATATTAATTAAAATATATGATTTCTTCTTTAATGTATTATTCTTATAATATATTAATAAATCATAATTAAACATTTCTCTCTTTAATTCATCCTACATATTGCTATGATGAAGGCAACCCAAAAGGATCATGCTCATAATCGGATCAAGTACATACCAAAATAGTTATGAACTTAAACACTAATCCAACATAGATGTTGTATTTTACTTTAGAAAAAACATGTAGAAATCTATACTAGAGGATCCCCCATTTCGTGGATGCTTAAGATAATAAGAAAAAGTAAATAAATAATTAATGATTTTATAATAATATTAATCTTTTATATGGTTTTGTTTATTTTGCTTTTACTAGTTCTCGAATAACCATTAAACAAAAAAAATGTCATAACTTTTGTTTATTGTTTCATTTTTATATTGTTTGCCTTGGTTTTAAATGGAAGCGTGTTGTTATAAAAAATTAAGTATGTAAGAGATGAATAGAGAACGTAAATTTCTAGATTTTTTATATCTCTTTAATATTTAATAGTATCTATAATAATTATCTCAACTTTTGTAGTACCATCATTTCCTGCATGCAACGATTTTTTTTTTCAACCATAGGAATTTAGTATACATCTCCAATCCAATTAATTTTACCATTAAGTCGAAACTTTCTTTAATAAAAATAATACCATTTTAACAAATAATATAATAGAAGTTGTGTGATTTCACTAAACCCATTTACTAACATTTTACAATTCTTAAAATAAACGAGCTAAAGTATATTTACCTTTTTAAAAGCTATGATTTTTAAAGACTTTAACCAATCATAAAAAAAATTGGTTGCATATTGTGATGGATATATCGTTTTGGTTATGATTTAATTTTGATTTAAAATTAACCAATCTATATTGGTATATGAAAGTATAATACATTTAAATGGTGAATGATATTTTAATGTATATTTTGGAATAAATATGTTATCATGAGTAGAAATGATTTGTTTTTTACGGAATGGAACCAACATATAAAAACACATACTAAATATGGGATATATACAGTAAAGTCTCAATATTTTCATCGATTTGACAAGAAAGTCCTAAATTGCCTGACTTTTTTTGGCTTTTTCAATATTGGTTTGTTGAGATTAAAAAAAACGATTTAACAAGAAGCAAACGTTAAAGATTTCAATAGGAACTACCTGATTAGAGAAGGTTTCAATAACTTTTATGCTTAACGAGTATCATACCATTAAATTTCTAACAAAAAAAATTATATACACACTAAAGTCCCAATATTTTTAACGACTTGTCAAGAAAGTCCTAAACTTTATTTTTTTGACAGTAAAGTCCTAATTGACGATTTCACAAGAAATTCCCAAACTTTTTTTTTTTGACAAAAAAGTCCTAATTACTGGCTAACCGGAAAAAATGGTAAAAATATCAAAAACTACCGGTAATTTGGACTTTACTGTTAAAAAAAATAAATTTAGGACTTTCTTGTCAAATCGATAAAAATATTAAGACTTTATGTGTTTTTTTATATGTTTAAACATTGCTTGAACTTGCTTAGTATTAATCAGTGTTGATTGCCTTTAAGGGTAATAACATTGCGGGGCGGTGTCAGGGTGAGGTAGAGTTTTCACCCGGTGAAGTGAACTACGGTGGCTTGTTCCCAGATGTGGGTACATAGGCAACCACGGTCAAATGGTGCAGCCGGATTGAGTTCTACATATCAAGATGTGAAATTTTTTCTTTGGTGTATCGTCCAAAATTTGAGGTCTATCAAATGTTGTTCGAGGTGGAGAATTGTAAGTGGTCAGCCCAAAGATCTTAGCTTAAGTTGACTTGGGTCAGCCCAACTGTTTTGGGTTAAATGACCCGGTTAATAGCCCAATGTTTGTAGGCCCATGTATGTTTGCTTATATGTTGATTTCAACTGTAAATAGTGTAGGACGCATAAGTTTTGTAACAGGGAACAAAAGTGAGGTAAATTGCTTCTTAACCTAATACAAAATTTCTCTCTCTTCTTGTGGATGTAAGCAAGTTATTGCTGAACCACGCTAAATCTATTGTTCTTCATTCTCTATTTACTTTCTTTTATCTTGGTTATTATCATTGCTTGTTCTTGGGTCTAAGGCAAAATGGAATACTCTAATAGATAGCTTAATTGCTGTCAAAGTTTCTTAATTTTTTCTGTATTGTATTGCTGGAGTAACATATATATATATATATATATATATATATATATATATATATATATATATATATATATATATATATATATATATATATCTTATAAAAGAAATCTCACTGTTTCTATAAATAGATTCAACATAATAATAATATTTCTTTAAGACGTCCAAACTATTAAACTAACAGTACAACTAACCATCAAGAAAATAATATTATAATATAAATGTTATAAATAATAATGCAATGGGTACAAGTATTTGATCCACTATCAATACTTTTGAATAGTATCCCTTGCTTTTAGGAATTGAGTGTATCCTCTCTTTTCAGCAATTAAATCGCACTTTCAGCAATTGAATCAGTCAAGAGAAGATACACTTTATATAAATTTCATCCTTTCTGCCACCCGATTATCCGTCTTCTCCCTCCCCCCCCCTCTCCATAATCGCCAATGCCACGGTCAATCAGCCATCTCTCTCACAACCACCATTTCCCGTAATTGCCAAGATCTACACATGTTTGATAACATGAAATCTACCTAAAGAATCCACATTGATCTCTTTATCACCTAATCAATTATTTTTTCAATTAAACATGTGTTATGCTGCTTTTTAGTTATAAGATAATTGATTGTGTTATTATTTTTGTCGTTGTGATGAAAATTTTGGAGCTCTGGAGAAGTCGGAGGGATGATTTATAGATTCAAGTGAGTCTGATATGTGTTTTAAAGCAAAATAGGTTCACGAGTTCTGATTTCTTTTTTTTTTTTTGTTTTGTTTTGTTTAGGTTACTACGTAAAAGTTGAGTATTTTTTAATGTTATTATCAAAGCCCCTTTTTGTGTCGTATCACGTCGACCATTCCCGTCGTCTTCCTACTTGCTATATTGTTTGTTCCTGTTAGGGCGGAACATGAAATGCGGAAAGTAAAGAAATATCGAGAGAACGAGAGACCGAGGATGAGGGGAGGAGGCGTAGAAGCAACGACAAAGTTTTGGTGCTTGATTTAGGTTTGTTAAGCAGCATCTATGATTTCTTCACTTACTCTAAATTATTCATTCCATATCTAAATTCTCTATCTGTAGGTCCGTCTCCTGTTTACAAGTCTGAGTGTCCGAAATCAGGGTAGATTTCTTTGTAGTATGCAAAGCAGGTGTTAAACGTCAGCAAATATCTAATTCCAAGTTGAAGTTTTGGAAAATGAGCAGGCACAACCGAGGTTTCTGATTCTAAGTAGGTATTGTAAAACATTTCGGTTCAAATTAAAGTTATTCTGTAAACATTCGTTGATTTTGCTATTTTAACCATTTTGTTGTTTGATTTTTGAATCCCACTACGGTTTAGAGATCTAAAAATTCACTCCCTCTTCTACATTATTAGTTACAGTTGAGTTTGACCTCCTTTTCTAGGTTTTATTTAGATTTTTAAGCGATCATCCTTCGTTATGTTCTTTATTACATGAATGTTTTAATTTTGAAGGGTTTATCTGCATAGAGAAATAGAATAGGAATATTGATGTTCGAAGCAGATGGTTATCTTTGCTTATAATGTTGTCAAGCTAGGAAATAGCAGCCAAAAATGATATTTATGGTCGAGTCTTTAAAGGTCATCCTTCAATTTGGGTCAAAGTGAAACAGATCATAGTAGTGAATGGAAGCTGTTGATGGGCAAAATTGGCAGAAGCAAGTATGGAAGCGGGCTTTTGACATACATTTTTCCTAATTTTCTCATGTTTTGTGCTTGGATTTAACCCTTTTTCTTATGTTTGGTTATTATTGTCAAGAAAATATACATGAACTTGAGGGTGTACTCTGGATACTGTTTTTGCTACTCATGAAAGTGTATTTTTGACATACATTTTTTCTAATATTCCTATGTTTTGTTTATACATATGGTTGGATATCACAAAGTAGTTATTTGATGTTTTCATCCCTTTGGAAGTGAAATATCAATATTTGTTAAGTTGTATGATTATTGTTGTAGTTTTCTTATTTCCATCGTTAATGATTAATACACTTGAAATCTTGAATCTTGATAGGCTATATGTGAGAATCTAATTATATCTTCAGATATGCATGTTTTTGTGTCCATTTTTTATTGAGTTATTCACTTCCTTTTTTTTATATATCTTTGATGTTATTTGCATGCGTTTTAAAATATGCATGATTTTTCTCTAATTAGATTTGATCCAAATAATAAACATGAAACCACCTTAATGTATGAAATATGGACTAAAACTGAAATAAAAAACAATCATTTTTTAACCTAAACATTATAAAATGACATACCACGCACGAGAATTTGTAATTACTCTTACAATATAAATAAATAATAAATTGAGAACTTAATTAAAGTAAAAGTTAAATAAATATATGGGTTGTCAGTATTACATTGTGGTTTCTATGCAAATTAAATGTAGTTTGAACACTATATAAGAATACAAAGTTGAATGTAGTTTGAACACTATATAAGAATACAAAGTTGTTCCATGTGCATCACTTCCCAGTAGAGATGAATTTATAAATGATATTTGATACATTGTATGGTTTTTTTAAGATGACATGTTTCCAAATATAAATTAATCGTTGAAAAAAAAATCATCGAAAAAAGAAACTATTCGACGAAAGAAACTAATTGTTGAATGAAGCTATTTACCGCCGCCGCTTTGCGCGGGTAAACAGTTAGTATATATATATATATATATATATATATATATATATATATATATATATATATATATATATATATATATATATATATATATAAGGAACGTGTGTCTATCGCCTAATAAACACCTCTACAAATTTCCATAGTTGTAGGCATGCGAAAGCAAAGAAAAACAATTATTGCTCTAAAATAACTTATATTCTTTTCACAATAACAAATTAACGATGATCAACTTGCCACAAAATGTCAATGACTCCTTTTATCTACAACAATACAATGGTGTGAATATACCACAAAAGATAAAGAAAATCACCTTCAAGATGATGAGCTCTTCGATTATGAGGAATTGTTGCGTGCCTGTGAACTCCCATTGGAGGGTGATTCCATGAAGAAAATAATAGGCTCTGGGTTATCAACAAATAACGTGAAAGATTGGGGTATCGGAGGCATGTTCACAGCCAAAACTCCTTCAAGCATCTGTTCCACGAGGCTCATTGATGGCCTACTCTCTTCCTCATATTGGATACACCAACATGCAATTTTGCAAACTTTTGTGACTTCTTCAACACTAGCTTCCCCGTTTAACCTACTGTCTAGCAAGCTAAGGATATCACCTCCTCTATTAAGAACATCAGCAACCAAACTAGGGAAGAATGTACTCCTTGAATCTTCACAAGGAACTGTATTTCGCTTGCCATAAACTAATTCAAAAAGCATCTTTCCAAAGCTATAAACATCTGCTTTAGCTGTGACAGCCACCCCTGATAACCATTCTGGTGCTAGATACCCTCGTGTCCCTCTTATAGTCGTCAAAACCCTACTAAATTCTCGACCAACAAGCTTTGCCAGACCAAAATCTGCAATTTTCGGACAGAATTCGGCATCTAGAAGAATGTTTTCTGGCTTTATGTCACAGTGAATGATACAGTCTCTGCACTTCTCATGAAGATAAACCAAGCCTCTTGCAATTCCAAGTGCAATCTGATACCTGGTTTCCCAGTTTAGAACTTGTTTTCCATGGAAAAGATGGGTGTCCAGAGAACTGTTTGCCATGTAATCATACACCAACAGCTTATTGTTACCTTGTGCACAAAACCCACGAAGGCGTACAAGATTAACGTGTTGGATAGTACCGATTGTGCTGACTTCACTCCTGAACTGCTTCTCTCCTTGGCTGATGCTTTCAAGCTTTTTCACTGCCACAATCGACGAATCATGCAGTACCCCTTTGAAAACGGAACCAAAACCACCTTCTCCCAATTTGTCCGAGAAATTTTTGGTGGCAATTTGTAAATCTTTGTAGACAAACGCCACCAGCAAACCCTCCATTGTCGTCTTTCCCACCGATAATGATACCCTCTTTTTTCTATAGATTAAAATCAAAACTACAACCAAGAAAAGAACCACACCTCCCACCACCCCAACAACAACAATCAGATTATTACTCTTTTTAGGACGAGGTAGATCCTTAGAAGCAACTTTAATGTAGATTGTATTGGCACTACCATCGTCTTCTGAGAGGTTCAAGAGATCTCCATCCCAAACCAAACATTGAGTACCCACAGAAGAGTAAGCATTACACAAGCAATCATTCAAACAGGTGGTACGACATTCTCCAGCACTCCCAACTGCTACAGAGTTATTCGGAGGCAGATTCTTGACCCTAATCTTGAGAAAATCTTGCTTTTCCATGTTTCTCCCACACTGCAAATCAGTTTTTCTCACACACCCACTGGAGAAATCACTCTGATTCCAATCACTCTCTGATCTAGGATTGAATCCAGTCAAGCAATTACAAAAAGGTAATCCAGACTGCCTGCAAATCCCAAAAGACCCACATAACGCATAGACCTCACACTGGGTTTTGGGTTCAAACCAAATTAAATTCAACTCTTTATTATTTTCCGACCATGCTAATTGCTGAATTGTACCAGAAACATCTAATATAAATAAAGATATAATGGAAGGATCATACACAGAATAAATGAAGTAACTCTCGTTAACATTTTCATGGTAGCTGTATATGTAATTGTAATCCAACCTTGTTTCCGGTACTAAATAAAATGCTTCCCCATCCCAAGCCCCACTTGTCCAATATTGTTGGAAGCCATTCCACTTGCTTACATACTCTTTACCTGGCGGATGAAGCTCCACTGAGAATAGTCCTACAGCAGGATCATCGTTGCTTCTCCATGATCTAATAATCTGACTCTGTTTTGTTCTATTATCATAACCAAGTTTAGCACCAGGCAACCAAGTATGAGTTGGGTGGTCAAAACTTTGCCAAAAAGGTTCAATTGAATTTGAACCGGAGTCTCTCAAAACTAAGTTACCATTATCAAGAATAACAGCTGTTGCAGAGTTCAAAGTGGTGGTGGTGGTGGTTGTGACATTTGTGGACCAAATCTGGGACTTGGATTCATTCAAGAGCACTAAATTACCATCAATGGTTTTTAGTTCTGAACGGAATCTATCAGAGATGGGTGTTTCTCTGTTTGCTACCCAAACTATGGAAAGAGGATTGGATTTGATCTTCTTATACCAAATGCCAATGTAATAGTTGGAAGTGTTACCTGCTTTAAAGAAACCCAGCTCGAATTGTTCACCTTCGGATATGATTGTATGGTCTCCAGACAGAGACTGGTTTGCAGATATGGTGTTAGCTCCCGATGAGAGAGTTATGGTCAGAGAGAAACACAGGAGTACCAGAAACCTCCCCAGACTTTTTTCTTTGAAGAAGCACATGACTTGTACAGAATTTGAGAGATGAGAGATATTAAATCATTATGTACAAACATATTAATACCAGTATTACTTGGGTTTATACAACTGGCATTTAAGCCCTGACTAAGGTGAAGTTCTTAGAGGTCAAAGAAGACTGGTTCCGAGTCAACAAAGTAGTACTTGCTAAACCCACTTAGAATAATAATATTACAAGTGGGTCAATTTAAATTGATATAACTCTTTCATTCCATCACATGTTTGGATAGTCGTATCCACACCCTTCAACGGTTTAACCACAGATTTAGAAACAAAGTCAAAATTTCTAGACGTCTGACTTCACATCATTGTCTTCTTCTTCATAAGCTTTCTAAATATCAAATTTGCTCAATTTTTTTAAACATTTTTAAAATAATTTTTTATTTTAAATCTTTCTAATTAAAAGAAAATATCAATCAACAATAATACCCTTGTTTTCAAATTGTAGGAATACTTTGATGTTACTACAAACACATACCCGACCACAACTTCGCCATTATCGACTCACTTTTTCCTCAACACGTTATTTTACCCTAACCTTTTCACTTTTTCATTAATAAGAAATGTCACCT